AAGTGAGAATAACGGCACAATTGGAAGAGCGTAGTCAATGTCACTGAACTGTGCATGTAGAAATTTTTGAAATGCTGTATCTTTGGCTATGTGTATTTTCACCAAAAAAAAAAAAAAAAAAAAAGGTTGAGAAGTCAGATGGTTGACATGTTGTGGGGTTGTTAACCAATGTCACAAAACAATACGTGCACTACTGTTTCATGAGAAAATATTTGTTCTGTAAGCCTTCACCTGAAGTACAATTAAAAAAAAAAGTGTCTAGGTTTGCACAAAAAATAATCAGGACACCCTAGTTAAAGGGGATTTAGATTTTAGATTGCTGGTCTGGGTGGATATAACTCTCCTCAGTCTCCCCAAAATCTTCACTGTATCTACTACATCATGCGTCGGTGCTTTCAGAGTTGGGTTTGTGTGTTTTGGCCAGGCAGGGATGAGGACAAGGAGGTCCAGTCACATGTGGCCCAACACAAGGCCTGGCATATAGCTGGTACTCAATGAATGCACAGGGAATAACATATAGTGAAACCTCTGAAAGCTGGAACTCAACAAGTCTTTATATAATGGCCTAGTTTTTCCAGATCTTGCAAGTTTTCCACCGTTGCCAGGGTGCAATCTTAACCACTTTTCTATCACTCGCTTTAGTGGAAAATATTTGAGTTTTCCTTTTCTGACAGGTTTCTACCTTACACAGGTTCCAACTTTTGCAGGTTTTACTGTATTAACAAAAGCAATATTGTGCAATACCTCGTTTTTCCCCTGTGTAGGGGACCAGATCTTCTCGGTCCTTAAACTCCTTTGCTTGCTTTTCCAAGTGATCCAAGAGCTCCTCTCTTTTAAAGGGGCCCGTGGGCGCCTTGGTGGTCTGATCCTTCTGCCTCAGGCCTGCAGGCAGCAATGCATTCTACAGTGGAGGTGGTGGGAACGGGGGAGAGAGAGAAAGAAAGAGAGAGCGGTCAGCTGCTGAAGACTTGCATTTTTGTAGAAACCTTGTCACTGAACAACAGGGACCTCAGAGCTCACTGAATCAATCCAAGTGCCACTTCTTACATGTAAGGAATATGAACTGGAGAGGGGCAGGGACTTGCCCAAGGTCACTGTTATGGATTGAATTGTGTCCCCCAAAAATATGTGTTATAAATCCTAACCCTCTATGCCTGTGGTTATAATCCCATTTGGGAATGGGTTGTCTTTGTTCTGTTAATGAGGCAGGATTAGTGTAGGGTGTTTCTTGACTCAATCTCTTTTGAGGTATAAAAGAGATTAAACACAAGTGAGCAAGCAGAAACGGGGGAGGAGAGATGCGAAGCCACATGAAGATCACCCAGGAGTAAAAGTCAAAAAGAGAAAAGGACCTTCCTCCAGAGCCGACAGACAGAAAGACTTCCCCTAGAGCTGGCATCCTGAATTCGGACGTCTAGCTTCCTAAACTGTGAGAAAATAAATTTCTGTTTGTTAAAGCCTTCCACTTGTGGTATTTCTGTTATAGCAGCACTAGGTAACTAAGACAGTTACACAGCAGAGGGGCAGAGCTAGGGTAAGACTCAGGTCTCTTCATCTGCCCAGTTTCCCCACCTCCATCATTTTGAAGGCAAGGGGGCAAGGGGACAGAGCAGCTGACTTGGTGCTGCGCACAGACCAACAACAACAAAAAAAAAACAAAAACACAAAACTGGTGTCACTGAGTTGATTCGGACTCTTAGTGAACCTATAGGACAGAGCAGAACTGTCCCATGGGGTTTCCAAGGAGCAGCGCGGTGGATTCTAACTGCTGATCTTTTGGTTAGCAGCCAAGCCCTTAACCGCTGCGCCATGAGGGCTCCATTCTCAGACCCTAAGCACAGAGGGGCCCTCAAAGAGCACCTGCTGAATGATGAATACTACTAAGTTGGTATTTGGATGCATGGAGATTTTTTCAGCAATTGTGTGTAAAGTGGTTGGAGCGGGAAGATGTCAAAGAGTTTGAGTTAGGTCCAGGATGTAGAATAAAGCAGGAAGGAGCAGAGCAAGAAAAAAAGAAAACAGAAAAAAAAAAAAAAAGCAGGAGAATGGCTGAGCAGAACCACAGGGTGGGCAAGGCATGTTTTTAGGCTGTGAGCCCTGCTCCTGGCTGCTGCCCCTGCTGACCAGTCCCTGCTCAGCTGTGCTGGTTGTTAAATATTTTGAATATCACCCCTGGAGATGGGTCTCCTAAGAAAGATAGCATCAACCAATCCCTGCATTCTCTTCTTCAAACATGGGCAGGCTTCTATGTGGGCTTACTACTAACGCAGAGTCCTAATTTGGGTAGATTTGAATCACATGGGCTTGACTTTAACACAGCCCAGTACCTTAGCAATTCAAAGAAGCTTATAGCTGCAAAGATCCTTAGAAATCACCCAGTACACCCCTCTCCTTGACCTCAAGGAGAAACAAAGGTCCAGAGCAAGGAAACACTTGCCCAAAGAGTTTCAAGGGCAAATATAGAAAATCGGGTCCTTGTTCAGACCTGAAGCAGGAGTTTAATCTTTATTTCTAATCATTGCTCTTTATTCAGAGAGGTCTGGAGGATACCCAGAGGGCAGATGTGGGCAGAAGCTCACCTAAGTTCTTGCCGTACCCCCAAAATGCCTAAATTGGAGAGGATTCCTTTGTACCATCAAATGTACATCTTCGGTCACTCACACACGCTCTACATCCTTTCCTGAAAACCCCCTCTGAGAGGGGAATGAGATCAGGTATATGAAGATAGTAGTCCCTGGGTGGTGCAAACAGTTAATGCGCTCCGCTGCTAACTGAAAGGTTGGAAGTTCAAGTCCACACGGAGGTGCCTTGGAAGAAAGGCCTGGTGATCTACTTTCAAAATAAGCCATTGAAAACCCTACTCTGACACACATGGGATCGCCACGATTCAGAGTTGACTTGATGGCAAGTGGTTTACTGGCTTTACTGGGGCACATTGCGGCCCCCGCAAGGCTCAGCATTGTAATGGAAGAAACCCACGGGGTTGTAACCGAGAGGATGAGGGTTTGCACACTCTCATGTTCCTTCAAATCTATCTGATTGTGGTCACTGCCTTAATTAATGCAAGGTTTCTCAACCTCAGCACAATCGACATTTTGGGCTAGATAATTCTTTATCGTGGGCAGCTAGCCCATGTATTGTAGGTTATTTAGTAGCATCCCTGGCCTCTACCCACTAGATGCAAGTAGCACCTGCCGCTCCCCAGTGTGAGAACCAGAAATGTCCCCAGACATTGCCAAATGTCCACTGGGGGACAAAAGTGTCCCCCACTGGCAAACCACTGTGTTAAACTAAAGCCTATATAATTATAATATGGGAATAAAGATGTTTATAATGTATTTCAAAAATATTACTTACATAACACATTAAAATATGGTTTTATTTATTTAAATCTTTATTGAAAGTAGTTGTTTAAAACATAAAAACATCAAAAGCCTTATTTAACAATTCTTAGCTTATCAGAGTTTTAAAGTAAACATTGATAATATCAGCCTTGTTAGAAGTTAAAGCTTATTTTCTTTCCATTAAAGCTTAATGAAACATCTCATGATTTTCAATTAAAAGCAAAGACAATAATATATTTTTTTATTGTGCTTTAGATGAAGTTTTACAAGGTAAATTAGTTTCTCATTAAACAATTAATACATGTATTGTTTTGTGACATTGGCTGCAAACCCCACAACGTGTCAACACTCTCCCCTTTTAGACCTTGGTTTCCCCACTAACAGCTTTCCTGTCCCCTACCACCTTCTAGTCCTTGCCCCTGAGCTGGTGTGCCCACTTAGTCTCGTTTTGTTTTATGGGCCTGTCTAATCTTTGGCTGAAGGGTGAACCTCAGGACTGACTTCAGAACTGAGTTAAAAGGGTGTTATGGGGCCATACTCTCAGGGTTTCTCCAGTCTCTGTCAGACCAGTAAGTCTGGGTTTTTTGTGTGAGTTAGAATTTTGTTCTACATTTTTCTCCAGCTCTGTCTGGGACCCTCTATTGTGATCCCCGTCGGAGCAGTTGGTGGTGGTAGCTGGGCACCATCTAGTTGCGCTGGACTCAGTCTTACGGAGGCTGTGGTAGCTGTGGTCCATTAGTAATAGTGTATTTTTTAAACTCTTGATCATTTATTTTAACTTGTTTTCAAAAATGGTATATGACCTTACACCGTATGCAAAAATTGACTCAAAATGGATTGAAGACCTAAATGTAAGAGCTGAAACTAAAAAACTCTTAGAAGAAAACATAGGCATAAATCTTGACAGTCTTGGGTTAGACAACGGTTTGTTAGATGTGACACCTAAAGCACAAACAATAAAAGGAAAAGTAGATAAATTGACTTCATCAGAATTAAAAACTTTTGCACTTCAAAGGACACTATCAAGAAAGTGAAAAGACAACCCACAGAATGGGAGAAAATTTTTACAGATCATTCATCTGATAAGGGACTTGCATCTAGAATATATAGACAGCTATTACAACTCAACAATAAAAAGATGACCCAATTTTCTAAACGGGCAAAAGATTTAAATAGACATTTCTCCAAAGAACACGTACAAATGGCCAATAAGTACATGAAAAGATGCTCAACATCATTAGTCATTACCAAAAAAAACAAAACCAAACCCGTTGCTGTCGAGTCGATTCTGACTCATAGCGACCTTAGATGCAAATCAAAACCACAATGAGATACCACTTCATCCTCTCTAGGATGTCTATTATCAAAAAGATAAGAACAGGTGTTGGTGAGGATGTGGAGAAATTGGAACCCTCATAGTCTGCTGGTGAGAATGTAAAATGATGCAGCTGCTATGGAAAACAGTCTGGCAGTTCCTCAAAAGGTTAAACACAGAGTTACCATATGAACTAGCAATCCACTCCTAAGTATATACCCAAGAGAAATGAAAACACAAGCCCATACAAAAACTTTTACATGAATGTTCATAGCAGTATTATTCATAATACTGAAAAATGGTAACCCAAATGTCCATCAACTGAATGAATGGATAAATAAAACATGGTATATCCATACAATGGAACATTATTAGCTATAAAAAGGAATGAAGTACTGATACATGCTACAATATGGATCAGACTTGGAAACATTATGCCAAGTGAAAGAAGCCAGTCACAAAGGACCACATGTCGTATGATTCCATTTACATGAAATATCCAGAACAGGCAAAGCTATAGAGACAGAAAGTAGATTAGCACTTGCCTAGGGCTGGGGGGTCTGGGGGGAAATGATAGTGACTGCTAATGGGGATGGGGTTTCTTTCATAAAGTGATAGAAATATTCTAGAATTGTGGTGATGGTTGCACACTTCTGTGAATATACTAAAAACCATCAAATTGTACACTTTAAACAAGTGAATTGTATGGTATGTGAATTATATCTCAATAAAGTTGTGATTAGAAACACGGAATATGTTACCTAGGGAAAATCATAAAAATGGCTCACGCAATGAGTAAACTAACTGGCCATAGAATGCTAAGGACAGAAGGCTCTTCATGTTCATAGACCAGTGGCCGACAATGATGCTGAGATTGACCAGGCTAGAGCTGACCAAAGGCTAAAACGGTATCCTGTTGATGTGGTTTATGATGCAAATTAGTGATGGGGGAGTTCAATGAGTAACGAAATATTGCCTTGAATCTCTCATGCTGATTAGAACCTAAAACTGACTCTCAGGCTCAAGCTATCCAATAACTGAGGAGAAGAGTTCCCACAACCATTTTTGGTTGTTAACTCTATCAGCGGAGTATTTGGTGAACGTGTGTGCATCTTTCATGGCTACATTTCTTATTCATTGAACAAATGTCCACTGAAGGCGTATTATGTGTCCAGGCTGTGTGCTAAGAGCCTGGATCATGACTCTGCAAAGATCTCTCTAATTTGGAGTCACTGGGGAGAT